ATATATATCTTACCAGATATACACCTTGTACACATTCCATCCATACAATGAAAGCTGTCTTATATAGAGGGGCCTGAATAGCACGAACTACATCACGTTATCTCTCAGTTGTTCCAGTGCAATAAAGAGAAACAAAAAACCGGCCTCGGAACCATTCTCAAATAAGAAATTATATGATCCTTTTCCTACTTAGCCACCTTATTCATCCCAATGTTTTGACAAATATCAAATATACTAACTATTCTTAATAATAGTAATAATAATAATAAAACTACGATGATTAATATTGTCCCTCATAAGCGCGTCCCCTTTATGCCTACCAACTGTGAGTCTATCAGCTCACGAGTACTGGTACTTTTGTGCATCGAGTTTGGTGACAATGTTCTCCAACTGACGTTTCGCCTCGCAATTTGGGAAATTGCCCATATCGTAGTAAGTCGGGGCCAGCTTTATTAGCCACTCTGGTTTTACGTCGGTTACAGTGCGAATGTAGTTTTTTGTGGTCAAGACAAATTCGTTATACACGACCCACTCCGGCTTGTGATCTAAACAGGTCGATGGATGTAGCTGAACGACCTGATTATCCTTGATTGTCAGATAGTGGCCATGGCGTTCGAGATGTGCTACCTGCATGAAATAGCCAGATACAAGGGTTTTTCGTATATTGAGATAGTAGTCCTTAGAAGTGAACTCCGTTGATGTACGTTTCAAGTTAAAGCGGTCCATAATTCTGGAAAGCTGCGATCGAACATTATCTGCGCTCTTGAGAGAGCGATAGTTAATGAAATTTTCGTAACACCACGATGGGTCGTCGTGCGCTTGTTTGAACGCATGGTACACGTTCAGCATGGTCAGGTGATCACCGTCAATGTGGGCGAAACGCATCTTCGCTTCATCGGCGGCTTTCTTTGCTTCATTCGGCCTTACGAAGCATTGAGGGACTGAAAGCATGGCCGTGATTGACAGTGTCTCGTTGGAGCAGTTGAACTGACACGATGATATGAGCATCTTTGCTAACTGCGGGTCAAGCGGGAACTCAGCCATGATCCCTCCAAGCTCAGTCAACTCGCCTGAGTCGTCGAGTGCCTCGAGGTAATTGAGCATCTCAAGAGCGCGCATCAACGTTTCTGGAGCAGGTGGATCCATGAAGTCAAAGTGGACGAGATCCTCAATGCCTAACTTTTTCAGCTGTAGTACGACGGTGCCCAGATTGCTTCTTAGAATCTCGGCATAGGTATTCTCTTGCATTTCGGTCTTGAAAGCCCTTTCGGTGTACAATCGGAAACATTTACCCGGCTTTGTTCTGCCCGCACGACCCGCTCGCTGCTGCGCACTTGCTTTGCTAATTGGTGATACTAGCAACGATTCAACCCGAATGCGTGGATTGTAGACTTTCTGTTTTGCAAAGCCTGGATCAATTACGAAAACGACACCGTCGATAGTGAGCGATGTTTCGGCTATATTCGTCGATACTACACATTTCCGCCCGATTGCTCCATTTGGCTTATTTGGGGGCGCCGGCTCGAATATTCGTTGTTGCATATTCGGCGGTAGCGTCGAGTATAATGGAATACATTTCAGCTCTCCAACATCATTACCTAGGTTGTCGACCTCGCGTTTAATTCTTTTACAAGCCTCTTCGATTTCTTCCTGTCCCGTAAGAAAAAGTAGAATGTCACCTTCGGTTTCTTCGCACATGTGAATTTGTACGACAGTCCGAATCGCCGCCTCAAGATAATCCCGTTCCGGTTCAGGCGTATAGAAGATTTCAACAGGATGTGTTCTTCCAGGCACGGACAAAAGTGGCGCGTTATCAAAATACGTCTGGAATTTGCCGGCGTCAAGTGTTGCTGACATCACGATAATTTTGAGATCTGGTCTTCGTAACACGACCTGCTTGAGAACTCCCATTAGGATATCGGTAGCCAAAGTTCGCTCGTGAGCTTCGTCTAACATAATGCAACCATAGGCTTCTAACATAGGATCAGACATTGCTTCCCGAAGTAGCATACCGTCTGTCATATACTTCAACAGTGTCTTGGGTCCCGAACAGTCTTCAAATCTGATAGAATAGCCTACCTCTTGGCCTAATGTGACATCCATTTCTTCGGCAACTCGGGTGGCAACCGACATCGCGGCTACTCGCCTAGGTTGTGTACACGCCACTCCTCTGCGAGACTGTGACAGGGGTTTACCCGACATGGCCCGGGGTTTCATAATTTGAACGCACCATTGTGGTATTTGAGTTGTCTTACCGGATCCCGTCTCACCAACGAGAACAATGATTTGATGTTTCTGCACAAGTTCTTCAAACTGTTGACGGTACTCATTCACTGGCAGTGCGAGTCGCTTAGGGACGATCTCGTAATAACGTTTTGAGTATGGTATGTTGTTTAACCAGTTAAGACCATGCAAAACCTGTTTGTCTCCACTGCCTGACGGTGTATTTGAGGCATTAGCGCTGCCAGTGCCACTTTTAGTTTTCTTAGATCCTGAAGCCATATCTCCAAGATCAACCCGATGCCGCTTGGACATTGTGTTTTTATTTTCAAATATCTGAGCTTGCTCCGTCCCACTGGGATAGGCCCACTGAACTGGACCGGCTGCCGCTGAAAGATGACCAGGCCCTATTTAATGGGGTTGTTCCAAACGAGTACACCACATAAAATACTAGTTTTATGAATTGTTAGACTAATATAATAGAAAAAAATCAGAAATAGCTCACTTCATGCAAACACCAACACTTGTAGAGATAAATATCAAAATGAATAATTTACTTCGGCTCGAACAACGCTGCAACGCGGAGCTCGCGAAGCGCGCACTAAATGGCGCACTTTCTCCAAAACAAAGCATCAAGGCGACAAACGCTATAATGCCAGTACACTCTCCATATATGCTTTTGTGTACATTTCATATTCAATTACGAAATATATCAAGCAGATTACACAGGTGGACTTTTTTTTTACTATTTTACACATTTGCACTTACTTGGAAACAATACCGCTCAAGGGCTCAGATGCTCATCGTTCGGCGTATCTAGTTCACCCTTGGCTGCCAGATCAGTTATACATAAATGTGTAGGGCTAAACTCACACATAACCCGTTTGATGGTAAAACATCGTCAGTTGTCGTAACAAGCTTATAACGAACTTATAACTAATATAGATTTATTAACGAGATTGGTTATACTCTACGGCGCTATCCTCTCATCACTGATATGGCGTCTACATAGGTAGCCACCATTTTAACATTTATATATACATGCATAGATATGTGGTATGCTATATTTTTCTAACACGTTTTAAGTATTAGATGTAAATTACCTACCAGTCAGAACAAGCAGGAAATATTATTAAACATTCCAGTACATTTTTTCAGTTACTAAACGCAATTTTCCTATGCTATTAACATATGTGAAGGAAAACAAAAACAATAGACACACAAACATGAGGTTTTTAAAAACAAGTTAAATATGCTGAGTTGAAATGGATTTTTTCCGAGAGCATAAACAGTTAATTAACATATATTGGCTTTTTAAAGCCGTTTACCATTTGAAAATGCACACAATTACAATTCAGTTAGTAAACCCTTTTTTAGTGACGCAATCCTATTGTAATCACTATCGCAGTTTTAATTATGTCATAACTTTCAGAGCATTATATCGGCACAACTAAATTTGACTTGCACTGAAAAGTCAATTATCATGAAAAGACATCACGTCATTATCTCCACTGACGATTTTGTAAGATACTTTTTGCAGTCTGAGAGAGAACATATGATATGCCTGACATGTATGTACGTACTCCTATTGAACGTTTTTCTCAGAAGCCTTCTCAAAGAACTTCGTGGAATAAATTGTTGCTTTGACTATTAGAATATATTTTTTTATATTTCTGAATAAAATAATCTAAACCTATTTTATTACAAATAACTCAAAACTCACGTACAATGAAACATTTTTTCTCATATCCAGATTCAATTTTCTTTCATGACAGGTTAAAAATGCTTCCAATGTTTACAAATATATGTTAAATATTTCGAATCGATTTGGATAAGGTTATATTATTATTATCATTATTAGTAGTCTATTGATCATAATAGATGTCACAGTCAGATTTAATTTTTGCCCGAATTTCAGTAATCTTTCCAGTAAGACTCATGATATGTTATTATACATATCCCAATGTGAATGACATGGATATCTACCTACCGATGCATCGGTAGATATTGCTGTACATATTGCATAGTATAGTATTTATTAGGGCATGACATTGGTAAAAAGAGAATATAACCCCTTTCTTTTAATATTCTCTTAATATTGTATACACACAATGCAATACGGAAATACCTGGTGAAGTCAAAACCACTCTTTATTTCAATATGGATATGTTTATGTTGAAGGTTGCTAGATTTGTTGAAGATTACATATAGAAACGTGGTTGCCTTTTTAATAGTAGTTACCAAAGAATAGTTGGTACTTACATACTGTCTTACAGTTCATGCTATTTCTTTTAACGCAAAATCTCTTCAGGATAATTATAAACAAAATGACCAAGACAGGTGTTATTCTTACCTCTCGACAGCAATTACTAGAATCTTTACGCTGCATGGACTGGTGCTGTTTAGTCCCACTATGCGGGAGGAAACGGTACATTTACGAAATGCCAATATATCACTTGAAAATAAAAGAAAAGTATCGGTTTTTTGATAAGCTAACCACGCTATTGAGGTATATCGATTATGTCAATACAGTTCGATCTGGATAGAACTTCGAAGAATTGTAGTACACGATGCAATTTGTACGTGCAGATACGCAAGGAAGTCAGCAACTTTCGTCTGAGTCACCAGTAGACTCAAGCATAAGCAACCGTTGTGATTGTAAGATTGTTCGCTGACAAACGTATGACAAATGCATAAAATACGAACACGAATCCAAAATGCACACAATGACCAAACAACGGCCACGAAATGAACAGCAACCAAAGAGCGAAATTTCTGTATCTTTGAGATAGTCGGCTGTTCCACTTCTGTTTCTTCCTATTATTTTTGCAAGTCCCCAACTGAGAGTCGACGACGTAAATTCTGCTCGGAGGAGCCCGTGAATACATGGCGGATGAGCCATGCAAGCGTCGCGTTAACTGTACGCTACTTTAACGACAACTGCCTTTTATGTAACGTGCGCTGTCTCTCCTCTAAGCCGAATTTTTAGCATTTAAATCTGTAGTAGCCAATATATTTCCGTTCACAAGCATAACGGTGGTCAAAGATAAGCATCTATTATAAATGCATCTATGCGCATATTGGTAACGCTGTTGAGCGGCAAATAGTTGCTCTGGTCTCCCAATATCTAGCAGATTTTACGAGAGCGTGAAATTAGTAAACAAATGGTCGTGCCATGTCGGAAAATAGGTTGACAAGTCATGGCTAAGGAATTAAATAAACGACACTGTCACGCCCTTTGCTTGGGACTCCAACCATTGATACATGACTATTAATTTATAGCAGGACCGGACCTTCTTGGACCCCTTACAGTATGTATGAGAAATACTGGGCATATTGCACATGGCCAGTTTTAGATATTATACAGCCTAATTTCTTAGTTCCTTTAAAAACCAAAATCGCCAGAATTCCCTTCAAAGCGCTGTCACATTAGATTTTAACGTAATGCTTATGAAAATGTTCTCGGTAGATGAAATGATCAGTAACAGATATATAGATCTAGAAAAAGGTAGCAGGGTTATTTGTATATCATATTGCACTTATTTGCATAGCAAGCGATATTAGTACATATCATTTTAAGTAGCAGCCTTTGCATACACGCAAAAAGTTAAATTTTTTTTTTACGCTAATACACATAATAGTAATAAAATCTCTGAATAAAATGTACAATTATTAAAAAAGTGAAGAGATTTATAAAAAAATATCTCAGAAATTTGTCAACCAGTGTTAGATTTATACAAGTGCCAGGTTTCAGGATTATTCTTCCTTTATAAGTAGCATGTATTATTCTAAATAGCTTTTTGAGACGAGATCTATCTAGATGCACTAATTATATCAACTTTATCGAGTTTTACACGTCCGTTATCGCCGTCACTCATTCCAACATACAGCATGAAACGAAGTGTGACTACGTCTGAATTCGAACCTAGACTACAACATGTCCCTACAATTAGCAAGCAAAAATGTTACCCACTTCATTATCACGACAACAAGTCTAATACTCTGGGACACCATAAAACCGTATTTACGATTTCCATATAGGACGGACTAAAAACTGTTCAGTGCAGTCGAATAGTATACCAATTTATAATTTTCGCCTATATTGAACTATTTTTGGTAAAGTTTTTAAGGCAAAAGGATGGTCAGTTTTGGCAGCATCCGTTACTTCAGTCGTGACTACACACCAGCATCCGGACATAATCGTTTCTTAGCCCTTGTAATCGAAGACAGTAAGCAGAATATGGCACTGCTTTTGTAATTTTGTTTTGTGCAATTCGACCGAACCCGACTAAATATGAACTTTTGAAAAATAGTTAATTATAAAAGTGCAGCAAAATGTTATAGTGACTATTCATTTGAACTTCATTACGAACAGCATTATGATTTGTCGAATAAATTTTCCAATTCACTTGACAAGTCATAGTGCTACTTCGCACTTCAACAGTGAAAGATAATTACAGCTTGGTTCCATTAATTGAGAACTTGAGAACGATATAATGGTTTGCTCTATACGACTTCTTGCGGCTCATATTAATCACCGCTAGCGTTAAAAATTATTAGGGGTACATTTTGGACATTTCTTCCTGTGGCTTCACAATGTCCTTCTACGTCTCAGTTTTGTCAGGATCGAAGATATTGACCAGCTTTTCTGTAAAAAGTACCGTTTCCCTCAGCAAATGTACTATCCGATTACGTGCACTAACACGGAGCTTTAACACGCGTCTTAAGTATGGGGTAAGCACCGGCATTAATATGCCGGTAAGTTATTTGCCATTATTAAGAAGTTCTCAAAACGTTTAAGTGCGTAGCACAAACGATTCTAGAGCACCAAAGTTTGACTTATTAACGATATTATTAGTGATAGATCACGCTCTAAGCAGTCAGCCCCTCTTCCTGGAGTCAGCCCCAGATGGCCTTCGATGTAGCCAGTTATGACTAGTGCTTGCATAATTATCATGTTATTTGTTATATTAAATGAAAAAAAGTGTATATACATACTGGGTACACCGAAAATTTCGGGACAATTTGAAATGTATGCATCTGTTACATATGTGATGCACGATTAAATCTGCTTTCTATTATAAATGTGAATTTAAGACTCTCTAACTTGTTCAAGACTTTTCTTCTTTCCAGTACATATCTGTTGTTATTGGTGAAAATGTTGCCTAGATAATTAGTAAGATAGTCGCAACTGCTGTAACTGTTGTGCAAACTAACACGTTCCCCGTAAGCTACAGTGGTGAGAAAATACAATAAATATGTCCAAAACAATTCGAGTGTACTGCGTATCGTAATTATCAGGTCATTACTGTAAAGATGGTTGTTTATATTGTTTTAACAAAAATAATGACTCGACGATATACCTTTACCACATAAGCCCTTATAGAAGTAGTTTAGTCGTCTTATGGCAATCAATGTAGGTTGAACCAGGTACCAATATGTAGCCTATATTTCTCAAAAGGTGAACCAATCTAATCGGGAGTCAAGTAAACTTTCTCAGATAACCCGTTATTGTGTTCCACTTATGGTTAACCAGACATTACCCTGAAATAACAAGAAGAAATATTTTTCAGTGGTTAGCCAAAAATCTCAAAAATGTTTCATTATCAGGAAATGTCAAACGTTTGTTACTTCTATAAGAGTTATGCCACACCAAAATGTAAAAAATATAATTGCGTCCCATATAACTTATGACGACAGAAAAGAGTATTACGAAGTATGAAGTGTACCCTATGAAATGTATGCATATAAAAAAGTTGAATAAAATGGAATTTTAAAAATGCCGTCAAAAACGGAAAGCAGCACTAAAAATTACCACCAACCTATTTATATATCACATTTTTAAACCATGGTTAGTTTTCCTTGCTACGTTAATTGTAGCAGAACTTGGAATGAATCAAATATCAATCGTTTATACGCACCAGATTTTTTGTTTACATTCCTGCCACATTTCATAAAGTGAATAGTCATAAAGTGAAGTCTTCACCCATTTTGAGGAGAAGCGTTTGTAAGCATAAACCCCATTCTATGGCGTTTCTCCTCAAAGTAAGCCATTTTAGCAAGAACAATTGTTTTTACCCGTAAATCTGTTTTATTGGTATGTTGATATAAGACACCAAAATAATGAAACTCTCCTTAGACTCTTTTGAAATTCCTTATAGAATATGTCTTGTTATTTTGTCTTCATCTATAAAAAATTATCCCCTTTACAAAGACGGATATGACATTTTTTAAATTGTCGTTAGCAAGGTTTACCGCGATTCGATAGGTTTCGATTCAGAAAAGCCACTCACGGACTTGCAGATTCTTAGTCAGAGAGCAAATTGAAAAAACAAACTTTAGCACTGAGTTGATATTCGTTCATCATATATTTTGAAATATGTAACGGCTTACTTTGCTAAAAGAAAAAGTTAACTACTACTTATGTAAATATATTATGAATTGTTTATTACTCCTTTTATTTCTATATACCGTGCTTTTTGACTGTCTTGAAAATGTACTAACCATCCCAGATGTTTAGTCTGGAAAGATGCTTAATATAGTCAAAATGCACCATGTTATGTAATTATTTCTCACTAGTTAATCGCACAGGCTATCGCAGATTTAAGAGTAATTTTTCTTGTTTTCCTAATGAAGTAAAACGTATTTACGTTAAAAATTAAAAACATATTTTTTATCCGAGGGCATAAATCATCGGACCTAACTCAATACGGACCATACTGAATCCTTAACATAAAAAAAGAAAGTCCGATTAATGGTGTATAAAAGACAAACGTCGGTGTGACAAATAATAACCACATTAATTTTGCAAGTGATCGAGTTCCGACATAATGCAATTATAAAATGAATGCGCTAAAGTCGAGACTAAAATCATTTTTAATTTATCAATTTTGATCCCCACAGAACTCTGTAAGAAATTTGTTTCCCACATCAAATGAGCTAAAAGAATATCCAGGTCAAAGGCGGCTTTTAGTGGACTTGCCACCAAATGACCAATCCGTCATGTACAGGGCGGTGCGTGATACAAAGGAATATTTGATACGTCGTGTGCACCATATACGTCCAGTGCAAGCTTATCGGAGAATTTGCGTCCAAATCATCTCGTAATTCGAAGCCCGACTGGCCACTTGAAAAAAAACTGACCGACTGGACCTTATAGGATTCTAAAAGTAAATTGTCTATAAATATTTGCAACTTAGGGTAATTAGAAGCAGCATAAGTCATTAATTATAGCACAAACAAAGTACGCAAAACAAGACGCTTTTTAGGTTATTAAATAGTGAGTTAAACCTCAAACGTTTATCGATACGTTGTTCAAAAATAATTGAATTGATTTAAATGTTTGCGCTACTGGATAATCCACGTTCCATAAAAAAAACACGATTTCAGCTACACAATACTTCACAGGTGTTTTTCATAAAACCCAGCGCACGCTCGTCAGTCCATTTGAGAAAAATCACAGAGCGCGTTAAAGGCTGTCCTGACGATCAAACTCGAAAGGCATTCTGGAGACTGGAAAAACGATGGTACAAGTGTCTCGTTGTCGGTGGAAATTGCTTAGAATTAGGACGATTCAACACTGATTTATGAACCCCGATTAAAATGACTCATTATTTTTTTAACACAAAATTATAGCGAGAACAATATATTTTTCATACATTTTAGGAGTTGCATACTATCCACACAGTACTTACATGCGAACATGGCGTAAACCGACAATTATAGATCTCACAAAACTAAATACACGACACTATATGGACTAGAGTATGAACTGAACGCTCAGCAGATAAATTAGCTACCAGAGTCATCGGCCGAATCATCGTCTATTGGAACTGTAATCACCAGGGTATACGAAAGACCGAAAATCGAGACAGACATTGAGGCGGAACGATGTCATGATGAGTTGAATCGGTGCCAGCTCAACACAGGAGCGTCAATGCTCCAAACTAGAAATACCAAAAATTACAGATTATAATAAAGCATTTGGATTAAAGATGGTTATTTTTTTATTGAAGAAAAACTCATCGCAGCTATGAAGCAATGAAAGAGGTATTTCTCGATGAACCCTAAGAAGAATACCCTTTACCACTTGGGCACGGAATGAGTGGTTGCAAGAAATTAACCTTTTACTGAGGTTTACTGAGTTCTCTATACGAAAAACTATCGTTTTCAACTTTTGTCTGTCACATAAAGTCTTACTTGTACTTCACTATTATGTTTCATAATTAAATATAATAAATGTACTTCTATTAAATACTAATAACAAATCCTGATGAATAGTGCTTAAGTCGATACGTAAGGCTCATCCTTTTCTCATCCATGTTATCCAAAAAAAGAGCAGTTTGCCGTCCTTCAACTAAGGTACCCTCTGATTTAGTTTACTAGTAAATAACATGAAAGTATGGTGTTTCTCATCAAAATGAAACTTGAGAAAAGTATTCTATAAGATAATACGATCATGCAAGCCAAATCAAAACTAAGTACGTTTTACCTACACCACACAAGATTTACATAGGTCTCATCTTGACGACTTCCCTGTCTAATAATATCGTCCTCTTTGAAATGTGACGTCACAACAGTGATCAGATTCATCCGTCGACACGGTCATCTTGTTTACATTCACACATTCTGTTCACACTCTTTGCTTAGGTTCCAGCTTATGGGTTTTATCATAACATATAAAATACTGACTACTGTGCTTTTATCACGTTGCACCACCTTCTAAAATGCAATACGAAGTAAAAAATCTTGACAAGCATCCAGCATGAAGTGAAAAGAAACAACTACCTGAATAAAACTCTACAGAAAACTCCATTCAATTCAGCTGCTGTGAAAATTGCTCTGCACGACTGTCGAGCAAATGGACAACGTCCAATAATCGTTACTTGGTAGAGCTAACCTTAACCGACCCATCCGGTTTTGATAAACACTTTCACCCAACATTAAACTTCAGATTAAGCTTCAATTTCAAAGAAAGTGATGACTTACCGCGCGTCGAATTCGGCGCACCTCTAACACTCATAAACAACTCCACAGAGTACCTCAATACCTGCTGATCTCCCACGCACGGTACTCATTAAAAATAGAGCTTCTCTATTCGTTATAAGCACCAAGTCAGAATTTTGTTCGATCTTACCGCATACGCACAACAACAACAAGAAAAAACACAAGAGACAGATACCCCACTACAAACTGACACCCACAGCTCTGCTGTTCTTTTCTATCTACCGCAGCCAGTAGCAGCAACGGCGGCGGTGGCGGTGGCGGCGGCGGCCATGCCAACGATACGAAACGGGCGGCAGCGCAGCCAGCTGATGTTTACGGGTAGCGACGCCTAGCGGCTAACGGATGAACCGCTCTGTGTTGACTAATATTCAAATTGCTCAGCATGACGGCCCGAATTCCGGGCAAGCAGTTTTCCTGAATTGAGTTCTTAGATGATCTGTTAACATCCCCAAAGGTTGTGATTTGTTAAACAAAATGTGAATGCTATACGCATGCAAATGCTTCCATTGTATGCGAAAGGAGCTGGCTAATTTAATCGTTGCTACTATTATTGGCTTTTGCACAGTATCAAACACTGCCTTTCCCCACGCGCCTTTTCCCTTTCTTACAGGTTAGTTTAGGCAGGACTTTTTCATATCATGTTTGAACATGCACTACTTCGAAATTTTCGAATACTTGTGCCTTTCATGGAAATGACCCGTCGCTCACAATGTACACAATTATACAAAAAAGAATATTTATTGTTTTTCGTTCGCCAAAATAAGATGAAGTCTAAATGTTCATAGTGTAAACTAAGTCTGGGATGGAAGTAGAAGTTGAACTCAGTCAGAACGAAAAGTAGTTTCACCCTTTGCGCAGCATCATCGAAAATATGTTCAAATTTTACCTTTTTGTCTTCATTTTCTTTCAAAAAAAGTCGCTTACGCGCTACGGGAGAAGAACAGTAGCTCACGTATGAATTCGGTAATTATTTAATCTATCACGAAACCCACTGCAGTTTTGACATATACAATGTCGATTACAAATATCAATGTGATATGAACCTAAAAAATAGTGACAGATTGTTTATATTTTTGGTTTCATAGGTTTCTTTTACCTCTTGTGATTTGCCTTGCTCATTTCAGATAATTTTGTCACTTGACTACCAAGGACGTAACCTTGCGAAAAAATTCTAAACAGATACTACTTTTATCGAGAGCTACAGAGCAATAATGCAAAGTTTTATTGCTGAATTTTGAAGGTAATAGTAACGGCAAAAGGTAAAAAAATGACTGAAGTAAATACCGAGAACATTGACAACAATCAGGAGCTACGAGCTGAAGTGGAATTAGTTTCGTTGGGAAGCAAAAATGATGCCCGAGACTGGAAAACATTGAGTTTTGTGAAAAGAATCCAGAATCTACCATCACCATTAGAAAGATACTTCTGTCCAAGGTAAAAATTGAAATTGTGCCTGCAAAGATAACCAGAATTCAGATTGTTTTATTTCAGCAATACATTCCATCTACTACACATTTGATTCAAAAGAGACATTGGCTCCGTATACAGCTTGTATGAATAAAATAGGTTATTATTTATTTAGTATTCAGTAAACTTCGCATTTAATCTTCTGTGCCTTCAATCCGTATATTATTATATTTATTACGCTAGCTAACCTTCTATATGGCCCCAATTGTATTAATCCTAAATTCATTTGTATGGACTAACTTCAGAAATCGCTTTACTTTTTTTCGTTTTATTGTATTTGTCTGTACGTAGTTCTTCCTTTTACTGTATTGTAAGACTGTATGTGACCATTACATTAAGATATCCCTGCGTCTACATTCGCAGATTCTATCTCGATCCAGATTGCGATCAAATGTCGGATATGCTGATTCTACTTCACTCCAATCGAGTTGGAGTTGTTTGTTTGGCTCCGTCGCACCCGATTGTAAGAAAGAATGTTTGCGTCGAAAAGGTTGATTTTCAGATTAATCAATCGTTAAACAGACTTGATAATAAGGTTTGTATTTTTGACTACATCACCGTCTAAATTGTAAAAATCAGAAATAGTAAACTGCATCCAAAAAAGGTCCTGCGTTATTTGCACATATATCCTGCACAAGACGGTCAGTCTGTGACCGAACATCTTCATACAGCATGTACATGTATCGGTTACTCTCGATTATGTATTATTACCTACACGCGTAACATTATTTACAGGTGACCGGCAAGCACAAGAAAGGTGGGCAGCGCGTCAAAAAGGAAAGTCTCTTGTGTACTATTTACGCTGGACTTAAAGCGTTCAAAATTCAAGCCTGCATTCCGGGTGAGCTTCATGCTATTAGCTGATTACACAGTTGTTTTATTATGATACTTTTGAATTTGGCCTGCACTAGTGAGCTGACGCATTCGTACGTTTCAGGGCTAGGTTATTCTTAATATATTTAGTTTTATGTTTACGTTGGAAAATAGAGGTGACCAGATTATTGCTAGCATCACATTACGTCTAATATTTTACAACTTACATTATAAAATAATAACCAAAATAATAGTAACATTCCGGACCATGATGGTGTTACTCTGATTAATCAGTGTCTTTACAATCGTTCATTGGCGGTACATTCGTATCCGCTATTTAGCCAATGTCAATCTGTTTAAGTGCTAGTACGATAGCTCCTGAATTCTTTTCAATTTCGGAAGTCGAGTTGCCCTGCGACACATACCTTGATTTTTCTGCTTAGGGTGAGGTTCTCTATTTTAGCTGTTGAGACCATTATAAAATAAGTTTAGATATATCGACTGAAGCTATAATTGTGTAAGAACAAGTTTCCATGTTTGGCCTTTTCAGGAGCTTTAGTCGAGGTAAATTCTCGCTTGGTGAATGAGCCCGGGTTGCTCACGAGCGACCCATTTCAAAGTGGTTTTATCGCCATAATTCTTCCACCGTTTCATTTAGAATCCGAACTGCGTACAAATGCCTACACACGTCCGGAAAAGTATATTGATATTCGGAAAAGCTTTATTCACCCAGAATTCCGTATCTGTTGTAATGATTAATATTTAATAATGATTGTTCTATAATAAGTGTACATAATCTACTGCAAATGATGTTTCTAAGAATAAAATATCATTCAAAAATGCTGCGCAGCTTTTGTTAGACCTATTTTCAATCACCTATAGAAGGGCTATATTATTTTGTTTACTGGGTGCATTGTGTTTTTATGGTTCTTGTTTCATAATTAGGGAAAAAAGTTTTACCTTGAAAAATAGCTCAGTATTGCTCGAAAATGCTATAGAGGAAACATTAATTAGTTAACTGCTTTTGGGTTGTGCCCATAAGTTTTCCCATCATTTCCTCTAGCGAAAACTTGTCTTAGTGTTCGACGATGTATCAGAACGTTTTTTAAATTGTTCTGTAGTGGCAGCCATAAGCATTGGGCAAACGCGTTGAAAGTTAGATGTCATTATCTATGGGTTGTTTGAAAGGATCTAACAGGAACTTGGAATTCAACATTGTGTCCCAAAAATGACTACAGTGTATTTGAATACCTCACTGGTCGCTTTTTTTCGAGACGTACCAGATGCACAATTGACAGTCCTGGGATTTTGCCTGGTGTTTGTGGGTGCAAGGCGAAATGTCTCCCAACTTCGAATTTGTGTGAGTTCATATATCTGGGACAGATCGCGAATGTCTCATCCGTTCGACTTTTTCTATTTCTATAGTGGTTTTCTACCTTCGATAAGGTATGAGAGCACTTCTCACACATTCTTTTCGTTATGATGTTACACCGGCCGTTGTCCAATCTCGGTTAGGTCTTCAGGATTAGTACTCAGGGGTGGAGTGGTCATACGAATCGATACGGTCATATTAAGATCTAAATAGTAGGGCTACTTTCAAGACATAGCGTTTAAGTTATGCAGGATCGTCGGACAGTTCCATTTCTTTTTTACGCTTTTACTACAATGGCACAAGGTATCAGTGGCTTTCTTACTGGAGCGCATTAGATTTAAGTTATTGTACAATTTACAGAGTCACAGTTGCATGACGAACTTCATGACTGTAAAGTATCCTTTGGCGATTAAGAATTCTTGACAAATTCTAAATTTCATTGACTGTATAGCTTGATATCCTTGGAAGAGTTCAGGCGAATTTGTAATTTAGAAGGCATAGGTACTCTTCGGATGAGTAAACAATCTGTATCTCGCACTACTGAAAAATCTGAAAGTTTTAAGCATGTCTTTGCCAAAGTCTTTACTTTTGCCCACACTAACTTGGGCTGTGATTGCAATGATATAGTATCTCATTGTTCATCAGTCAACACAACGACTAAGTCTATTATTTACAAAATAATATCACTTTCGTTTTCTCACACCATTCCTGTTGGCATTGCTCGAATCATTCATAGAAAACTCGCTTTCGCTTTGGCTGAACGTCTCCACATTATTCTTTGTGACAAGTCTGACTAAGGCGTTGTAACCTGCAGCTTTCGCCTCTCATTTGTCACGCCTGTGCACACAAGGACGCCAAGTTTAACACTGTACTGAACTGTGGCCCAAGAGCGTGCATTACTGTTTAAAAGCTTGTGGCTAATTATGTCTTCAGTTATCTATTACATATTAAAATGTTAATAATGAAAAAGATCGCTTGACTAAGAACAACATCATTTCGCTCGTATATATTTCGATTTGCCTAAGGCGTGTGATGGAGTTTCTAACCCAATGTTAATCGCAAAATCATAAAATTTATAACAGAACCACTGCCCGTCTGCATAACTATAAAGCTACCAGACAATCGAGGTGTAAGGTAAACGGAAAGCGGGGTTCAACAAGAGAGAATTTGTCAAGGCTTCCTTATATTCTGCGGTTCCATGCCAGACCTTGATAATATGCTCCTAGCAATAGAGGCATTATTCATAAACTATATACCATTATTTGAACAATATGGTAATTAATGAAAGATATAAACTTATTGAAAACGAATTTTCGAAAAGTCTGATCATTCGAAGTGGCACGAATACATTGATAATTAAGTACTGAAGCGTGCAAATGTTTCTGTGGTGATTGTGATATTTATAATGTGAACCAGACGTTAGTCTCTGTAGAATTTGGGGACTTCTCAGCCTTCTCCTAGACTATAGCACCTCTATCACTAAAGTTATGAGGACGGTAGACACGACGTGTAAAACCCTTGTTTTTTTTTAATCAAAAAAAGCTAATTTCTATGCTACACATTGTAATAATCTTATAATTTTTACATATATGTTTCTACAAAGTCTGTTGTGCTCAAGTACAGGTCCACCTTCATGTCGCTAATATAACCACTAAAACACTTTGCGTCAGATGGGTTATACGAGTACTGTTCCGTTTATGAGATTAATTTAAGAGATTTTCCAGGTGGTCTAAAAATTATACCAAGAGATAACGAGTGACATGGCATCTACCGCAACTACCTCGCTCATTTGAACACCCACACGAATCCTCAGTCTTGCGTAAAAATGGTTTCCACAAAATCCATATGATTTCATATCTGTTTAGCCGTATTATATTCGTCCCATTCCACTCGTTGTTCCTCATCGCGACAAAAAAAATAAATCCCCATCGATCTCCGAAAATTTTCGCTCCCAGTTCCTAAGATTGATCCTAACGATCAAAATCTCAAAATTTCCATTGCTGAGAATTCAAAGCAGCGACAGGTCCCCCGACAGCGGTGGTAGTCGATTAGGAGATACACCAAAGGATTCCAAATCGTTATATTTAGTCCCATTGCGCCATTGATTTGACGTAATTTAATTATTCGAGGTTGTCCGTTGCAGAATCCTTCGCAATGACGCGTATCCCATACGTCACAATCAGATCTACTTAGAGATCGAATAAGCTAAGGGCGGTTGCGAGGAACCAATGATAAGGTAATTTGATTGCAGCAGTTATCTTCCCAGATCTTTTGATGACGTACGCAATAAAACTTCAGCCATTTACACAGGAGAGCAACGCCAAGTACGGAAACCGATAAATATAGGAAAGCAACCTGGCGAAGTATGAGGTGTCAGTGATCACTGTTCCACCTGTCTTTGTAAACTTCATCGTCTTCGTGTTGGTCAGGTTTAGCGTCAGTCGGAAATCAAAAAGCCGGGCTAGAGGTTGGTGCACTTGGAACTTGTTCGACCCGTATATTAGAGAGTCACCTGCATACAAAATGACTCAAATATTCCCCTCGGTTCTCTTGTTTGATCAGCCATCAGAATCCTGCACGCAGGTTCTATGCAGCGGTTTACCTGAAATCCATGTTGCCCATTAGGATGGCGTGTATGTTTTCTAAATAATTGTTCACCGTCTAAGTTAGTAAGCCAAAGAGCAGCTTATAACAACCGATTTTCTTTGCTATTCAGCGCTATGATGATGGCGCGATTGGGTCACATTTTCTCTTAAGGATCACCAACAGGCCAGCACGTCTTTTCTGGCCTGACCATACTAATATGTAAACCCTGATTAAATAGTGCCGTTCACCACAATGTCGGAATGACAGGTATTTGAAACGCTTGTTGCAGACCCTATTTGGACCGGCAGCTTGCTCATTGCTTCGGCTCTCAAGGTCGCATGAATTCCCGTGCTGTAAAGTGTTGTTAAAGGTCATCGCATTACACTGAAATAATCTCTTTTCAGACTGCGACGGAAAAGGGTACTTCGTGTGGTACCGTATTTATTAATGCAAAAATTTTCTTTTGTGAGAACAGAAGAGGTAATCGATCACGTCACCGAGCTGCCGTGATGCCTTAACCACCTGTATGGTTGACGTTATGCATCGGTGATCAAGCAAGTCTTCAGCCGTTCAAAATACTGCTAACGTTGTGACGCATATGTTCCCAGACAGATCGTTCTTAAAAACGGAAGCTAGGCCGTAGAGCTCTGGTTATACTTCGGCCATAAATCTGGGGACTATCTGTATCCTTCGGGAAAAGCTGTAAGTTTAGTTAAATTACAACCCGTACTTTCGGAAGGTATACTATAGCCTAGAGGATCTACACCAAAGACTACGCATAGGTGTCAGTATTCACCACGTACAATACAGGCAGAACCTTGTGGGCACACTCCAGAAATTTATTTATATCTAGGCTTCGCCCCGGAGTTCGGCGTTTGACAGATTCTGCAAATGCAGTTTGTACAATGAGGTCTATCGCTTTCAGTATGAGAGCATGAATGCTTGCGCCCTCTAACAGTGAATGATTGTTACCCTGAAATTGTACTCTACAACTAGTTACGTTCGTCGTAAATATATCGATAACTGAATTTCTTGCATGTCCCAGACAAGTTGATGTCAAGATGGAATTGAATACCTAACCAAAGAGGGACCTAGCAGCCAAAAGGGCCGCAGTGCGGCTTGAGTTAGCCTGGTTCAATCGGGCGTTTAACTCGCTGGTGATGACCAGTAGTAGAGAAGCACAGCGAAAGTACAGCACTTCCAGTCTATTGGCGAGTATCTTTATTAGTAAGTAGTTTGAATCCAAATTAGCAGGCAAAACATAGGCTGATACAAGGTTTAGTTGCCGACCACGTAAAACAGTGATGTCTGCGACTTCGGCAAAAAAGAACGCCAAAACTGCAACGTCCTCAGAGTTCTACCGTGTAATCCTTAATGTCTCCTTAAAGTCTGACCTCGCTGCAAGCTCCATGACCGTCCTCTCGAGCGGCTGCAGTGATTCCAGTTGTTGCGTACTGGACCGCTCCTTCTATCATTAATGCTGTTTCACGCAGCTCTCGACAAGTGGGGCGGGTGAGACCTGGCGAAGTCCATCTGTCTGGCGTAATCGTTAACATAAATATAAGAGATTCAAAACTACTTACTCGCCATAATAATCTAGGTTTTGGCCAAAGCATACGTTTTTTTGAAATGACTAATACCAAAAACATCGACAGTGTTCTTGCCTCCAGATTGACTACATTATTGAGATAAATAATAATAAGAATATTTCAAATGTATTTCATGTTATATTTTATGCTCTTTTGACTACAAATGAGAATGTTTTTATTCAAGCAAACTGTTTAGTAAGTGTGTGTCTAACTTTGATGCACACGGCGTTTTTTCCTTCTTGTAATATACGAGTGCCTAATAGTGCGATTAATATTGGTCGCACTCAAATGATTTTTTTTTGTTTTTTTATTATAACGAGATTTGTAAAAGATGAAGAAATCGTAAACATTTCAAAATATGTATTAAACTAATATAGGAGTTAGATTTGTGTTCGCGGCTCAGTTGACTGAATGAAATTTTTATTCTGGATGGCCACAAATGGACAGTTCAAGCCTGTCTGCATTGTTTGCGAGCAATTAATTTCCAGAAATAAAACACGAAGCACTGGTTGTCACATAGAGCTTACTGAGAAATACCAATTACGTCCCGCTCCCAAATAAAATACTCCCAGCATGGCAACGGTTTATCTCAGTTGGCATTCTTTCAAGTAATTAACCGAATTCGACATACAACAGTACTACATAAAATTCGAATTTCACTTATTCGGTTCCCTCCTGCAACAGAAATCTGATTATCTGGTAGACAATATGGCTGCGTTGACAGCATATAGATTTCGAAAAGTATTTTATAATACTGGCAAATGATATTCAGTATAACTAAATTGTATGATGCGGCATATTTTCAAAGCCAGTTTGATCCACAAGACTCTTTTTGTCTGAAATTTTTTACTTTATTGAAGCATAATGAAAATACGGGGCAAATTATAATTTATGCAGTTAGCATCGGAGTCAGCAGCGAATTTAAATTTGATTGTATCGCCCAATTTCATATACCATATTTTGAATGCACCCACGGTCCTTCAAATAAATTATTGACAATGAAGAGGCACTGAAAGAAGCTTAATAAAAACAGGAGGATTCGTTTTTTCATATAACATGTCGTCCTCTTGAATCATGCTAAATCCAGGGTATATATACACATAACTTCACCGATGACAGTCGCAACAGTGAATATTTGTATGGCAATAGTAAGTTAGCTAAACTTAGGTATTTTTATAGGCGCTTTGAACCACCTTTGTCGAAATTTTAGAGTTCGTTTTTTCGCTGTATTTGGACCAACTCAACTTCGAAGATCAGGGTGGCATCACCTAAAATGTTTAAAAGCGACATGTTAATCATGGTGGCAGGTTATATCAACGTGACTGATATATAGAGAAGCTTTACTTTTTTAGTTTTCATTGTTCTATAATTCAATTTAACAGGTCTGATTTAGAAGCAAAATTGGTATCCTTACTTCCCTGCCGCTTACACGAAGTTAGCCGAATTAATTACTGAAACATCCACCAGCGATTTTTTGTTAATCTGGTTAATATAACCTGCCTCAAGATTGGTCGTTCTTTAACAAGTTTTGTAAATGAGATAAAAATTATTTCTACACATTTGATGACATCGCAGGGACCGCGAGGTAGTCCCACGTTAAACAATGAAAAAAAATAAATAAAGTCAAACTATTATCTATCTTTAGATGAAACGTATAAAAATACCCACCAGGAATCGTTGGCGGTGCTCCCCCGTCACCATATCCCATTTCTGGCGGAATGACCAGTTTGCGTTTTTCTCCGACACACATTCTGCAAAATAGGTGAAGTCCAACGAATAAAGGACTAGAGTTTGTACAGAAATTAAGTAAGGCGAAGGTGTCTAGTTTTTTGTATGCATTCTATGAAGAGAACTTGTACATAACTTGAAATGAAAAAAAAATAAAGAAGTTCTTGCAACTGCATTATAAATAGTGATTTTTATTTTAAGGTAAAGATTAAGGTGTGGGAAACTAATATATCAGCCCCGCGTTTAATTGTGTCTATTTATTTCTCTCTTATACGTTACGTACGATTCGTCAAAGGTCACCTGATTTAAATACCTAAAAAAATTTACAGAAATATCGTTCCCTCGTTCACTTTAGTTAATCTACACGATTAGAATATTAGAATTTAGCAATTGCTACAAAACGACACGGTGCAATTCTCTATAAAAGTATCTATATACAATTTTAATATAAAATGCTCTTTTTAACAACAAAAAGCCCTTAGAATAGTAGATTTATCGAAAGCAAACAGCAAGCAACGTACCCTAATAGCCCCTGGTCCCATCCACGGATCACCTGACCACTACCGAGGGTAAAGCTTAACGGCTTGCCGCGGTCATATGAACTGTCAAATTTCGTGCCATCCTCAAGGGTGCCTGTAGAAGCATATTTCGTTACTGATGTTCATACTATATCCAAAATGACTTTCGAAAATTCGTATTATTACATCAATACAGTACCTTATTAGTATTATTGGCTTCTACGGAAACAATTCGGTCGGAACATGCCAAATAATTGTATACGTAGTATAGCAACTGGCGAAAACACGTAACGAGAAACAAACAAAATCGTACGCATTGAAAAGTTCTTAAATAAAACACAGCTTCGTGCTTAAAGGTTACGATCACAGCTATCTGCATGATTATGATTATTACTAGGACACAATTCGTTGTTTGTCGTTTATTGTACATAATGGGGCCAGTATATAAATTTGTGTTTATATTTAATATCAGTACTATCAAACAAGCTGTTATTCCAATTTACCAGTATAATGCATGAAGAGCATATCGCCTGCCTTCGACTTCTGTTCGCAACTTTTCGGTCGTTTTTTTATGCCGATTTGTAGCTTTTTTTCATCACCGGCACCAACGGCAGCCACCAGCAATACGACTAAAATAAACAAAATTATTTATATATACAATTCTTATCATGCTATTTAAAATCACCGCGTTAACCCTAAATATCTTTAAAAAATGTTGGCAAAGCTCAAATGAAGGATCATCGAAAAGATCTTGTCTTAATAATGTATAATTGGCAAATGAATCTATAACACCTCGGCTTGTTTTTGATCAATTATCAAACCATGTAAACAATATTCCTATGGATCCGCAAAAAGTACTTTATGTACAATAAAAAAAAATAGGCAACTATGCCAACTTAGAAAAATGTTGCCAGATCCTAATTACAAGCTAAGCCAGAGATATGCTGCGTCGGTATGTGGCTAAAAGTAAGCATTTTTTTATGCAAGCATCTCGGCCGTCCAAGTTTAAAGTTCCTTGGAAAAGTTTAAGTAGTCTTCGCCGGTTTTACTAATTTTATTGTAGCTTAACCAATTCACATAGCTTATTTAAAGAAAATAGTGTTCATAATAATGGTAGATTTATTGGACCGTTACAAAATAGAAATAAAATAAATACCAAATAATGTACTCCATAAACTCTACGATATCATTAATTTACGTTAAATAGTTAAAATATCTGGCCACGTAAAGCATATTACTAAATATATATTGAGGAATTAGTATACACCAACATTATAATTTTCCTTAGGTATTGCCTATACGAAACTATACGGATAACTGTTCTGTTATAATTTACAATATGGAATACCTTTACATTAACCAAGCATAGTCGGTATCTTTCACTACTAAGTACACTTTGTGTCAAAGCTAGCAGTGAACATCTTGAGAGCACCGACGGTGAAAATGAAAGAACTTCTAGATGGCATCTGTATCAGTAACACTTTTATGAGTGACGAAGATACTCTTCCAAAAGTGTTCAGTCGAAAATACAAATACCAAACAATAATGTAATATAAGCTTTCGGGAAGTGTTTTTCTGATTTAAAAAAAAAACTGAATTTCGCCCTTGTGATAGCGCATTTATTTTTCATTCAGTTTCACAAAGCGCCGACTGAGCCTTATTATGACAATATATTTTGACCATCACGCTACTGCCTGTTTTACAACTCGACGCTTCGAAGCTTCTACTTCTGGTGTCGAGTGAGAATATGATATAAAGAAGTGTCTGCAAACAGTTTGTCTCTTTCAGAGTGTGCCATTTCTGAAAAACAAATACCGCTCAAAACATACATTAGGCGCACAATGATATATTTTTTAATTTTGTAGGATTATGGTTAGGACAAACATACACACCGAAAAACGCCAGAGTCTTCAGCAATTCCATCATATATGATACACCTAGCCAGAATACCAGCGTAGGCCAGCTGTCGAACTGATCTGTTTCCTTTGATTTAAAAACAAGCACAAAGCAGACGATCAAAGATCTTTGGGGAAATCGTACAGCTTTATATTATCCCATATTCGTGGTTATTATAAGTAAACACCCATGTACTACCTCCATCTAATGTATTTTAATAGTGGATTATTTTTCAATATATGTTGGCTTTAGTTTTTTTAGAAAATAGCTTGTCATCTTATTTTAGGAAAGGGCAAACTTCGAACAATAACAAGCCTGTTGTCATATGTTTCGGAGGAATGTGCGCGAACAAAATAAGCTGATTAGACTATATCAGGATCACAAAAATCGTAATAAAAGGTGGCAGAAATATGTATACAACATTCATACTAGTTAAATAAAGTGTTATCCAGCGTTCAAGTACTAATACACTGACAGATCTGAAGCGAAAATATGAACTTCGTTGAGAAGACGATCAGATACGCACCGCATGCATTTCGTCATCTACGAGGTTATATGTGCGTGTTCAAACCGGCTGACAAGGGTTTAAGCTGGCTATGCGGAATCCTTAAGTCGCAAATATGTGAAGGTATGGTAATTGAGAATTATGAGATAGTATTGCGAGATAATGTTCTAGACAACAACTGAACAATTGTAGGGTAATTGCAGTCATAAAGATAACAGACTATGTAGCGGAAATAGTAATGTATCACAACACTATGTGGCTGTTCATTTTTTGGGATCTATTATAATAGAATCATTATATTAGTAGAACGTGTAGGTTTAAATAAAAAAAATAATAAAACTAAGACTCTGTGCTGAAAGAAGCTATTTAATTTTTTATGGTTTATTTTAATTGTAATGAATATATGTATTCCTTAGCATATTTTTATAGTAAACCTTATGTGACGTTCCTTTGCGTTATATTAAAGTAGCTTGATTTCTATCATTGATTATTTTAGTGTAACAGTAAGTAACTAAAGTAACAAGACAATTGTGCCAAACAAATGCGTACTTTCTTTGTATCAAAAGATGTGTTTAACTGGACTCAATAAAATAAACCTGATTTTGAAATTGTTTTAGTACATTAAAGTATATTATTTTGGATGTCATTTTTAGGGTTGAACGCCTTAGAACAACGGCCAGTGAAAACAGACGTCAAAATCATCGGAACTTTAAAAAAAAAAAATCTTGAAGTAATCCTACATCCTTCGTATTCTGATAGCATTCTGGCAGTAGGTCCAAGATACCAACCGTACGTACATTAAATTATATTATTCAAACGTTTTATGTTGTATTGTCTTGAACGATCGGATACAAGATTACGCGTGGTAAACAAATCAGCCAAAAAATACATATCATTCCTTTTCTAGTTTTTTTTCCGTTATATTATTCCATTTCAGGCAAGATATCCGTTTGGAAGTCGTATATTCAACGCTCTGGGCTGCAAGTGGTGTAACTTTAGTGGCTGTTTTTCCTAGCAAAAGAGACGTAGCGATGCTTCGTTCTTGCAATCTGGTTAGTTTTTATGATGTTGAATATAACGTGATTCTAATTACGGAAAGTGTTGAGCCAATTAAGTTGTTATACTCCATATGACTGAACGTATTCATATTCTAAAGTTCGTATTTATAAATTGTAAAAGTAAAAAATAAAAATATTTTAAAACAATACGTTATTATCAAATGTGTAAATACAGTACAAGGTATCGGAAAATCGTTCTGCACATATATAGGAACAAATACGCACCTGTGTTTCGTAGGATAATAATCATGTATCATATTTATTTTTCGTCTATGCGTTTTACATTGATTCGTTCATCGTCTTGCGGCTAGATTCGTACATATCACGTGGATTGCTTGCTTGGTCTGTCAACGGAAACTGGACGAGTCGATGGAAAAGTGATTGATCGGAGTAAATATCAGCACGTCACGGCAGCACTCATAGAAAGAGTTCTCAATTCTATCCAGGGCGCTTATCAGGTACAGTTTAATTATTTCAGTCATGATTGTCAGTTATGGTCAGCCGTGGTTCAGGCACGTATAATTAGGCTCAGACTATGAAGGTTTTTGGATCTTATTGAGTATTTTTGAATAATACAATTTACGAAAATCGATCAACTGAGGTCGTAACTATTGTTTTTACCATGATAAAGTTATTATCGATGAAGCTATTCTGCTGTATGACTGGTGAAGCTCTGATTCGCTTCAGGAAACAAATGCCGTAGTAGGCTATACAACATTGTTATCTCATTGCATGATGAAGGTGACATGTATGTGCATCTGATAATGATTTGTGAACAACTGGATATTTCCTTGAATAAAAGACCTGTTTAGGACACTTCGTTCAAATATATCCAACTTGTTAGCTCTTCGTATTTTTGTCAAACTATCATTTGTACTATGATAATTGTTATTTTTATGTTGTTGACAGAAAAATGCATTTTTGTACGCCGGTGTGGAGCCGGATTCTGAGGACGCGTACAAGCTTATGTGCAATGGCTTAGTTCGACCGGACAAGTCTGGCTCTCCTCCCCTCATTTATTCTATACGATGTATAGATTTGCAGCCACCGAAATTTACTCTTGGTAAATATATCTTACTTCTACGCGTAGATTGGTGTGTCAGCCGTGCTAATCTAATTATCGTTCCTCTAATTTCAAAAACACCTATGATTGAAGAGAAAATATGCAAAGGAATATTGGCTGTTCCTACCCCGGTATTAATACAACATTTGGCGTCCGCCAAATTCAAATCTATTAATCCGGGCTTATTCTTTGTTACAGTGCTGACCATTAAGCTTCTCTTTCAGCAACCTTGTACATAATTGCTAACCCAACTACCTTTCGTATTCAGTTGAAGTTAGCGCTTTCGTGCTGGCTCACGATTTACTCACTTATGATGTTTTCAACGTAGAATTGCAGTTGATAAACGAATCAGATGAGTTTCTCTGTCATCTGGTCCGTGACATCGGTGGTAAACTTCGTGCCACCGCAGCTGCCGAAAGGTTTAGGCTTATGAGGTACGTTTTAGTATTGGACAGTAAGAAAACCCTCGTAATATTTTTCTTCGTAATTTTGCAAGGAAAAAATAATCAGTAATTATGGATATCACCAAAATTCTAAACACTGAAGTTTGCGAGCAGCGGTCAAATGTTCTGTACCGTAATCGACAACATATCACAGTAATTCTGTTATATTAAAACAGACAAAAATGCTCAAGTACACCTTAAAATCCGAGTACCATTTAAACAACGGAGACATACACCATTGCTTGCGTTTTTGTCTTCAATTTATCATAGTTTATTAGCATCCTCGAGCGTTTTGTTTTTTAGATGCTGCAAAACCCCATCAGAGGAGTGTATAATGGCATTTTGTGTATTTGACTGCCCATACGAAAGTCACATATATAAGTCGTAGAAAAAAAAAACCATAAAATTGGCTTTCTTAAATATATTATTATAAAAAAAGCTATCGAGTAAAGTCTGTAGCTTACGCGTAACATTGATTGGATGGTGAGTAAGCTTCTTAATTTAGTGTCAATTTATTTAATCGAGTAGAGTAATTCACATGTTTGAAGCTTCTGTTCCGTACCCAGACACGAAATAAACACTGAGTTCATTTCTTTGTACGTGCACAGGTTCGGGCCTTTTACAGCAAATATGGCATTACTCCAACGCAGCTGGCGTCTAAATGAAATACTGCAGAATATTCAGGAAACTAATCGGCGCCTAGACGAGCTGCGCTACTCAGACCTACTGGGACAGCGGACTCCGGGCCAGAGTATCCTCAGGGTTGTGCACGAATAATCGTGCGGGCCGCTTGCTTACAAGGCATTTAATTAGCGTCGTGGTTTTGTTTTTATTTTAATGAGAAAAAAGGTGTATAATTGTGTAAATAACTTAATACAGTTGCATTTATACCGTTTAACGCGTATTAATTTATCTTGATCGATATCTGATAATATAGTTTGTCGAATGTAGGTAAAATAGCAATAATTAATTACACAAAGCTTTTTAGATTTTGAAAATTTAATGCCAAATTATTTGATTTTAGTACAACTGTTTGAGTAACCACAATTGGCATACTTGGTTTGATGCGATGTTGCTTCGGACGGAAGTAGCAGTTCGTGTTAAATGAAAGCACAAATGAGAATAACAATGAAATAATTACTATATATATATAACTACTATTACATTAGTTGCGTGTTCTTTCTCGAAAGTATGGTATAATTGTGCTTAAGTCATAAGACATATTGTTACTCTTTAAAAATGAGGGTGTGACAGACAGTTGATTTCAAAGTCTTAGGCCTAGGAATTTGACGTCATTAAAAAATTGTGAATAAGCCATAGGCAAACTATTTAGAAACTATGTTATATAATAGTAAGGTCTGGACATTTGGTTCTGAGTCGATGAAGGTTTGCGTTAAAAACACTAGAAACATTACCATGATTTTCGTCTTTTTTATTACTACTATTATCGTTATAAAGAGACCATAATTAGGTTTTCTAGATTTAGATTAAGTCGTTTATATTCTCTGAGCCATTTGTATCTTCTTTAAGTATTGTCTAGTAGTGCCGCAGTCAGTTCCAGTCTATCTAAGAAATACACTCACGCCATTACATCGCTTCTCTTGACAGCATCTTTTGTTTGCAGACCGCTTTGCTATTTATATTCTTCATATTTCTTCATATTTTCCATGCTGATTGCATGAGGTATTAGTTCATCACCTTATCAGATAATTCAATTACGTGGGCTATAAGTAATCAGTTTTTAAAGTTCGCGGATTCAAATTCGCATGTCGGATTGGCTCAAAAATAAGCGTAAATTAGTGAACGTTACCGGACAGGTTTGCGAGCTTTTCGCGATGTTCAATGACCGACTCTGCCTTTCCTATGTAGTTTGGAACTAGGGTGCGTGCAAACATGACATTCTACATGAGGCACTTCCCAGGCTTAGAGGGAACCGCGATTGTGATATTTGTTTGTTTTCTATAATATTATGAAACAACTAGAATAGTTACTTTTTAACAATAATTATTAAGTGTTTATCATTATTCATCTATTAGAAACATTACTAGTAATATTGCTAAACATACGCTATAACACGTCGATTGGCTTGTCGGTTGCGTAACGTTGGATACCATAATTTTCCGACGAGTGTGCGAATCAGCGATATAAACAGCATTTTTTTTGAAGTGGTTTCAAGTAAGGAAATCTGGGACCCAATTTAGAGTACCGTTTGTAGAACATTTATTCTGTACTTAGAGGCTGTGTGTAGCTAGGCACTGCAGACTCGAGCACCGAGAAAAATATTTTTCCTGATATACACTAGACAGTATGTTATACACTACATTCTATATAGATGAAATAAAGAGAGGTTTCTAATGTAAAGGCAAATTTAGGTTTTAAGAATGCTACGTTAAAACATCGAAAGCTTAATCTTGTATTGCCTACTTGGAGTGCACAGGTCAGACTTTCCGTTATCTAGCATTGCCATAAAAATTACACCAAGCACATATTTTTGAGTGATCTAATGTGCTGGACTTGTCAGTTATTCTCTTAATGGAGTCAAAATATACAACCTATATTTCATAAGATCGAAAACATTCACATTTTTCATTTTTTCCAGGATTGTTTTTATAGAAAGGGAGAACGCCTTGTTTGTGAAGACCGCAATGGGTTTTGTTTCAGTCAGTTAGATTGTTAAATCTTTTAGAAATATTTAACGGTTACATAGATGACTGACGAAAAGCTTTAAAAAATCCTACGAAGATTATGGATTTTACAACAAAAGTCAAGATTCTATAACAAAGCTTTAAAAAATCCTACGAAGATTATGGATTTAACAAAGCTTTAAAAAATATCATGAAATATGTAAGGCGAACGAATTGAAAATAAAGGGCTATAGAAAAAGCGTGTACGTTACATGTAGGATTTTCAGAGCATTACCTAAACTTCTGGGAAATTAACTTGATTGTGTATATTCGTTATCCATTCTATAAATATGCATTCGAGTGTTTAGTCACAAAACATAAAAGCTAGGGAAACATTCCAGAAAGGTATATCTCATGGGATGTCAAATTTTGTTAAAACCGCACTGGTCATTCAATATTTTAATTAGATTCAATAGTTTTCTCTATGGCTGGGTAAAGCTTTGAATACTGTGTAGTTTTGACAATCATAGAGGAAATAATTATCTTACCTTACGTAGCGTGTTTGACAAATAATATATTGCATGCTTTGGGCTATCCGAATTTGCTTTGCCTAATTGTTTTTTGATTGTTCTGTTTAATTTTTTTTAATGAAAATATTTTAAACTTTATATTATTTTTTCTAATGGAAGACCTGTTTCGGTTCTATAATTGAAACTTAAAACGTAAGGATGAAATTACGGATAAAGCACCTACGAGTTGCATAACGAATTCAATTATTATACTTTGCTTTGTAAGTATTATGTTAATACTTGGACATTCCAAGCTCCTTGAAACGTCTGATAAACCCAGGGTCTTGGTATTACGTTAAGCTTCAATGACTTTTTTTTAGTGACTCAACTGTCTGTAAAAAGTTTTAACACGAAGCAGTTTTGCTGACTTATCCGGTAGATTCAAATGGTGATTTAGGTTTGTACTGAAATGATAAACGCTGGTGGTAAATGTGAGCTGCTCTGGTACTGCGGTCGAAAGCCCATTGGTTATTATCTTTGGGGGGGAATGGCTTTTTGCACCGGATTCGTTCATGCATTTTTCCAAAAATAAGCACAAAATATCTTTTTGAGTAACGTAAGAAAAATTGAATCAAAAATCAGAAAAGAAAATATTTTCTGAGCGCGTAGCTCTTTTTGTTGGTTTTTCTGCTCCAGTCCCTAAAGACCATTTAGGACGAATCTTAATTTCAAAGTTTTCAGTCTTTCTGAAAACAACTGTAACCCATGCAAACTAGGCTTTATAACGTTATAGTTACTATCTATGCAGTTTAATCCATAGAACCAATTCCATATTTGGTACCATTTTTGAAGTGAAACCGTGTGCAGGTTCGTTATCCGTCTCCATATTTGCCTCCATAAAAACATAAAACGGACTTCAATCATCGCACTTGCTCTCACTGTTGAATCCTTTTTTGCATCTCTTGTTTGTTCTCGGTAGAGGTTCCCAGCATGGCATCCTCGCGATAGCTTAACGTAGCTGGGTAACGTGTTTGCCTGCTAATGACACACTTCCGTATGATACTGAAAACTAGTCGTCTGATGAAAGGACTAAGGGTGATCTTGGACATAACATTCGAAATATAAAGAGGTACTCAGCATTCCCTTGAATCGTATGGTAATTTGTCTGAGTATGTATTTTCGCTTCAAGTAAGTTTTCGAGTGAAAGTTCTAACGAAGCTCAAATACTGTTTGTGTGAGAGCTTCCTGCGTGTCCTTGAAACACATTACAGTCATGCCATAGTCAAAGTACTGGTCATAAGAGCGCTTGTATAGTAAAGCTAGTGCTAAGTAAAACAGAAATCATCCAAATGCGTCTTCTCCTGATTCCTGAATGAACGAGGTTGTGTAGTGTCAGCGATAACAACGTGCTCCGTGTATGCTATCGCTGTTATCGCTCCATTGAAATTTTTTCTAAGGTTCTGCTCAAGTTATTTTTTATTCAATTGGACACCTATGCAATGTGGTATAAGTTTTTTTAAAATGCTTCGCTTTAGAGGCATAACCTCACACTTTGTCTTTCGGAGGAAGCTCAGCTGAATACTCTTTCATCGAATCCGCCAATGTCGGCAATGACACTTTGATTGTCTTTAGTTTGCAGCTTTTGCTCCTTCTTTCCCATAAGCGACATATCATCAACAAACGATCGCGCATCTACCACCTTTTTTTACTGTAATTAGCGGCACCTTTTTCCGTGACCCTCTCACTGGCTTGATATGGAATATTGCATGTGGGCGAAATTTTTTATGACCTTCTCGTTGAAGTTCTTTATCCATTTTCGCGAACGACACATCCTTAAAACTTGTGCTGATGAAAAAAAATATTGACTTTTTTTACTACTACACCAGAGAGCCCACATGTCTTGCTCGACTCCTTCATTTCTTTTTCAAGGTGCTCTGGTTCAGAACATAGGCTTTGTTCGTTCTATTCGTAGATACAATTCCGCCTACTCTCGTTGCCACTACCACAGGTCCTCAACTATCTCTCTTGGCTTCCTCAACACGTTGACTTACTTCTTGCGTCGTTAAGCTCTTTGCGTGCCTTGACTACCTCAGTACGCTTGTTTAAGTATTCTGGCAGTGAGTGGGCAGCAGACTGAACATCTGCTGGTTCGTTGGTGGCAATCTTTATAGAATCCTATCATAACTTATATCACCTCGACATAACATATATCACCTCGACCTGAGGTTCATTGATTAAGACTGTTTATTCACATTTAGATTTAGAACTTCAATAACAAACGGTTTTGACCGAGGTACAAACGTCACTCAAAGTCGAATCCAGCTCCATTTGAAAAACTAGGCATTTCAAATATAAGTAGGTAGTCATTTGTACGTCTTTTCTTTGACCATGGTAAAGGGACCGTTTGACATGTGCCCCTTAGCTACAACGACAAGTACGAAATTTTGGCCGCTGCTATAAGAAGGATTAATGTATACAGCAGTGTCAAAGCTGAGATGATGGAGGTCCTTTGTATAGAAAATTTAGGGTTTGTATTGAACGACTTAGTAGACGAAGCCTAATTCAAAGCGCAGATTGTATAGCACCTGATACGTATAACCCCGATTTATGTCCAATTTCCTATCCATCGTACGGAAGCGCCAAGTAAAGAAATAAAAGAATAAAGGAGGCGGGTGAACCTATTCTTTTCAGGTAAACGGTCTACGTACTGTATAGGCGAAGGAAAAGACTTAAATTTACCCAAAATTTCAACGAACCCTTGCGCGTAGAAAGAAATGAAGCTGATGGGTCATTACAAGTCACCATTTGTTTATACCGTTACATCTACAGCTGGCCCGTTTGTTGTTACCCAAAGATAGAAGAGTTCAGCCTTTGCTACACGAAATTTATAGAGAATAATATTCTATTCTTCACATTTATACATTAGAATTCAGGCTTACTGTAATTATTACTTTTGGTTAAATCTTATTCTACAGCTAGTAGGTGATTAAAGGCTGTCTTAGAAACATGATTTGTCTACTAACGCTACCAAAATCAGTACGATGCCTCTAATTCGCTTAGGCAATCGTACTCTTTTGAAAGATTTGTAGCAAAACGAACAAAAAAGAACAAACCAAGAAGCTATATAAAGATGCTATGAAAATCGCAGCAATTTTAGTTGAAGTCGGCTTGTCTGTCCTACGTTCCTATATACCGTGCATTGGATAGCAGCAAATGATCGACAGACTGAACGGACGAGAAATAACGTGCTACTCCACGTAGCGTCTTCTGCTATAGTGGCATAGATGACTACTAATAGATAATAATAGTATTGCATTAGCTCTGTTGGAATTTTCTCTCTTTCCCTGAAGACCAGCTCCACTTGCCAAACCGTCCGCAGCGTGCAGTCAGATACGAGGGTGGCGTTTGCCGTCGTAGCTTCTGCTCTACAGCTTGTGGTAGGCGCTCGCTTTGAGCATCAGCGCCAAGTCGCTTGCGCTGAGAGCAGCAAGTGTTGTCGTCTCTCGCAGCGCCAGCAACGGCGGCCGTTGAAACGCATATGGTCAGCAGCGAGAAGTGAAACAGCCTTACAAAGAGCTCGTGAGTGAGGGGGTGATGTCAGGAGACAGCGACGATGATCTGCGGAGCTGCCTATGGCGAAATGAGCACTGCCGTCAGTAGAGTCAGCGACAGCAGCAAACAGATCTGCTGAAGAAGCGCCCGAGGGACCAGTTCCACGGCATCAAACGGCTGTCCTCGCACGGAGCAAGCGGCACCAGCAGCTCTGTTCACCAGACGCCACCAGCAGCGCTGGCTACATCATCATCATCGCCATCGGCGGCATCAGCAGCAGCTACAACGGCAACCGCGCCGGTAGTGTTGAAGCCGCGGCCGCGGTACTCACCGCTTCAACGTCTTCGTTCTGGTCCGCTGTCGCTGGTGTTGACGGTAGGAGTGAAGCAACAGCGGCATCAATAGCAGTGCTAGTTGTCGTTCATGGACATCGTCATCGTCGTGCTTGGTGCCGTTACATCGTTTCAGGACGCAGTCGACTGACCTGGTGACGCCAGTCAGAGCCCCATGATCACTACGGAACGTAAAGGCAGCGCCACAAACAGCAGCAGGAGACGAAGAAGGAAAGCAGGATAGCTAAGGTTTTGGTACAGTTAGTACCGTTGTCGCGCTGTCCACCAGCGTCAGTCAGTCGGGGCCCAAACATATGAACGTAACGCTCAACTGTAAATCTACAGGTGGACTACTGCAGGACAGTGAACACATCAACATCGAGCAGCTGTTATCGAGGGGCAGTGTTAGTGAACAACAAAAATTAAGGTAGACGCGCCAAAGTACTGCAACCGAAGAGAAAGGCATCATCGAGAAAGGGAACAAAAACCCGTTTTGCACGCGTATTTATAGTGGCGTTCGTCTTCATATTCTCAATAATCGAAGTGCGTCTATTGACCCTGTTCAAGTGGTACTGCCTATTGGTGCACTCATTCTATATTGGATTGTCCAGTAGTTAGTACTTAGTGAGAGTCTTTTTCAATATGTGAGAATGACAAACTATATTCAGAATGCAAACCTCTAGCAACGACCTGTATCGAACCTAAATTGCGACACACGAACGGGGCGTTCGTGATACATTGGCGTCTATTAGCGTACCAGTATGTGATTGTGTTGGTGCTTTAATACCGGTAGATGGCGTGCTCGCAAACCCGACGACATGATACTGTGGGGAGCTCATTAAAACAGGTGCTCTTATACTCTTCTGTGGCCTATGTACAGACCTGTACAAAACCTCAACGGTATACAAGTCGACGTTGATTATGTGACTGCCATACAGTTGTGCAATACGAAAGGAGGTAGTGTTGAGGAAAGCTTCTGTCAGCATTACAGACCTGACCCATTAGGACTGCAATAATGTAAGCACTAGTTATATATATATATGGATTTTGTTATTGAATGCAAGCTTTTAGCCTCGTCGAAGGATCGTTAGAAAAAATAGTTTTATTATTTATTATACATTATTCTGAATCGTTATCAAAAGTGGATACGAAGATATGAACGAGTTTGAAGAAGAGCGGGGACACAGAGTCTAGGGGGTGCGGAGATGTTAGCATAACGGGACCACTTCGTTGTGGCGCGTTTCTCTTTGCGTCTAAGCGCGCTAGGAGCCAACGAGACGACTACAGCTGGAAGAGCTCAATGATTTCATCGTTGTAATTAGTAAAGCAACGCGGACAAAATTCAGTTTAACGCAGAACCTCCATTGTTGTTATCATTGTACTTCGCGTCGATTTGTTATAGTTCTAAGTGTTTTGAGTTATTGTAATGAGTGGTCGAACCTGAAAGAGATTATTATGTATTTGACTGATAGGCACTATACTTTAATTTGTTGGGAAGGATTTATATATTTTTTATTATTAGCATTTTACATTTGATCGTTGAAGTAAGGCATGTGATTTACTTTACTGAACAGACTTTTTTTTATCGATTTCGTAGAATCTTCGTAGATCCCAAAGAATTTCTTTAGCTAACTTCACCCCTATTGATGAAATAGTTCAGTGTACCATAATGGCTGTTGTTCGTCCATAAAACGTTATTAATCATCTTACTCTTCGGAAGCGCGGTTGTAATGCGAAACTTAGTTAAAAATATGTTGCACAAAAAGGAAGATCTCCCAAAAGGCATCTTATCCAGTGTCACACGAAAACACTATTCTAAAGAACGAAAACGCACAGGTAGCCAATAGATTTTGCGGTTTTTCATGGTATCTCTTGTACATGCGCGCCTGTTTATGTATTCTCATAGAATAGGTTATGTACAGCGACCTCGTAGGGCTCGAATGCTGCCAAATGAAAATCGTCAAGGACAAATGTCTTGGCAATTTTAATAGTATCTTCTGAAATAAGCTACTGAAATAAGCCCGTTATACTTCTCCTTGTATGCAGCAGCTAGAAGGAAAAACGTGTAGAAGATAAAAAAAAACTAAATCTTATTTACATTCAGCATGAAGCCTCATGTAACTAACTTATATAATGTTGACTAGATGTTGCAATTTTAATTGTGTGAACATTTTTCCTGTTTATACAGCGTAAGTGAGGTGAACAGCAAGCAGGATCATGACATTCGGAGAAAGATGGTGTGGAGAAGGGGAGGGAAGGACGACCGTTTGACGAACGTTATTTGGTGACGGCAGCTCCTCGTATTATATATGCAAAATGAAAATGTTGGATCGCCAAGCAACGGGCCGCTGCATGAATTGCCTTGTCGAATGAGCCGTAGACCCTTTCAGCTTCTGTGGCACATGTTTCTGGCTTTTAGTCATTGAATCTTTCGTCCCGGTCTTTCTCTCCTCTTATTGCCACTAGTTCTTCTGCTGTTTTTTCGTGTCGAGTCATCGACATGTCGGAGAAGCAAACACTCCACCGGTTGAATCTATTTGTGTATGTACCGATCCCACACGTTGCTTGTTAGATCTGGCATCGCATTATGGCGTCATTTGGCTTTCTGGCCCCCTCTCTACTTTTGCGGCACGAGTCATTCACTCATTCATACACTCACTGACAGACTGAAGATTAACTTGCCGGTTTCACGGCTTGTAACGATGAGCGATCGTTTGATAGGCCAATGGACTTCGCACAAATACATGAAGCTGTGAATCGAAAACTTTGGCGAACTGTGCTAGAGAGTTGGATAGATGCTGAAGATAAGGACCAACAAGAATTGTACTAATAGAGAGATGGACATCAGCAACTATCGCCTGAACGGCGCATTCGTGATCCATCTAGTATTTATCCCTGTCGATAAATAGAAGTCATTCGATCAATACTGAATGGACAATTTATATTGGCCTAAGCAAGGTCCGTCGGCAAGCAAGCTCCTGTCCGTTTAGTCTATTTAAGAATCACTAAATGGTTGAAAAACTAAGTTGTTTCGCTATTTAACTTGTACTAAAATTCAATAATATACATCAGAACACATTTGCGATTCAACACCGCTGTTATGCTATATCCGGGAATTACGAAACAACTTAAATATAATATAAGAAGTATTTTCTACTCAATAAAAGAATAAATAATATGTAATATATATAGTCGAAATCATATTTCGATTCGGTCGATTTTTGATTACACTGGCTGCTACCCCCCAGGTTTTCTATTAATAACAGCCAACACGCAATACCCCAAGGAACACAAGCTCGTACTTCTTTTAGAAGTATGAGTTTTAAACCATTTTTAAATACTGCTGGTTTGATAAAACTATGATTTCCTAAAAATCATATACGTAAACTGGATGAATGATTTTCAACTCTGATAAATATTGCATTAATGTTAGCGATCGCGCTAAAGAAAGTTCGTTTGAATCAAAAATATAGTCTGTATAATGGTAAACAATATTTTAATTTAGATTTAAAATTAGGACCAAACTGATCCCTCTTTAAACAATAACTTACCAAAGTTCTTTGTTATAGTAATATCGATGATATATGATGTCATGATTCTATCGCATTTCCATTTTCACGCAGAATTACCTACAGGAAACAATAAATCCATACCGCAAAACCTCTTGTGTCGTTTGTTGAGCTCTTTATGGCTATCTCCAGATCACAATGTGCTGAAAATCCTATTCACACGTCGTCATAAGTTATGCATGTCCTGAGTTTCTCCCTGTATCCTGCGAAAAAGTGATCGTAAAAAATAGAAGAATATGTAAAGTTAAGAAAATGTGCTATGTTCGACTTTGTATTCAAGCTCTGTCTACGTTGCTGCTGCTACTGCTGCTGCTGCTGCTGGCCCCATGATAACTGTCGAATTAAATTGACAACACAGTTTGCTTATGATGACGAAAAGTATGGTAAAGGTCGTTATAAGAATAGAAGCAATAATAAAAGCCACAATAACGATAACATTGCCATCAGTTCCACTTTTACCAATCACTATTGTTATTTTCGTTATTATTATTTTCACTGTGGTGAATTCATTTCACGTACCCCATGCCATCGTATACGACGACAGGGACGGAAATGGAGTCACTCACGCAGCTATGCCCTCCCTTTCGTCGCCGAATCCGCTTGTTGCGGCTAAATTTCGACCTCACAATTCTGATTAGCATTATTGCTATAGGTTCATCGTTACGGTAGTAGGCATTGTGGCCCGTGGCAGCAACGGCAGCACCGACGCCGTTATTGCTGTGACTGTCATAAGTCCTCGTTTAGATAGAAGTAATCGTCATAAGGAGGATGATATCCGCGGTAGTGGGAGCTGTGATGGGGTTCCAGTCTGTAATGAAATAAAACTAAGTAAGTAAATCAAGGTTACAACCCAATGACAGGAGACAAAATAACAATATGCTGAAAAATCATAAAAGTTTAATTCTGGTTTGCTCTGCCTCTCAATAAAGCGGAAAAAAAGAATCTTTCTCCGGAACCCGGAGTCCTTTTTTCCTTTGCATGTAAATGTAACCTATTTGATTTCCTAAACTTAAACAATCAAACTGCATTAATGTCTTCATGGTAAGATGTCGGGAATTACCAAATAAAGGCACATGCATTCAAATATGTTGCTTCGAAAATATTTTTTCTCCCCAAACAGTTTGAGGGAAAGGGTAAATGATTTTCATACGCATGATGCATATACTGATGCTGCTTTTTTTTAGAGTAGCAAAACGTCGACACTGGTTGTGTACAGCGATCGCCGTTGTAGCGCCAATGCGTCAATCCATTGCTTTATTTAGGCGACCAGCATTGTTGACTTAACGACATGACGCCTAGGGATGATCACACAATGTGGAACTTCGGAACGGTTCGGAGCCAAGGTGGCCTGTGCTCTCATTTAATATGATTGCAATAAGATTCAGGCGCTGTTTATTTTTTTAAGGCAATTTGCAACAATAGTTAGAAGATTGCACGAAAGCAGTAACAGAGGCTCGATAGTATAATGCTTCAATCAAATAACTCTGGTTTATATTCGGCTGCAGAAAACAGAAACGGACACGAGCTGCAGTACCAACAAGATACAAAGATTGACTATTTATAGCATCTAGCATTGAATGAAACAATAGTTTAATTTATACCTACCAAGCGAGTATAGAGCGCCTGAAATTACATTAGCATAGGAGGTATCTTGCTGGCAAAAGTGACTATCGATCGCATAACCACAACCTGCTATAGCACAGTTAGTACTTCTCATTTTTTAGCTTACACAGGCATAAGCTGCAGAAAATAGGGCAATGATCAAATGGTCAGCCGAAAACTGCTCAGGACAAATACATTCACTTATCATAAATTCGTGTTATTGCTCAATTGTAGCAATACACTGTAGTATTTATTCTTGTCTTATAAACTGTTTAAATAATGATTTCGAAACCAATTCAAGTATCTAATACTTAAACGATCTTATAGCATAACGACCATGTTTAACATTATAAGACCCTTCAAGCGTTTTGATATTTTGACGGTACGGACGGACTTTGCCTCGTTGGTGAATACACAGCCACGGTCAAAGCTACAATATGATTATTACGATATTTAGCGTCCATCTACTAGATTACTAACCGTCTATGGTTTAAACATACAATGACTAAAGGTCCATCAACCGGTTGAAAAGCATGAATATAATTAAGCTTTGCATGATTTTTCGTCGTTTTACCCAATAACCTTACACATCATTTACTCGTTACTGTCTACAGCTTTATGGTAAAGCGCTATTAGGTTTAAAATTTTATTTTATGAATACTTTCGACAAGCAAGCAGACACGTGACACTTATATGGCGCTAGTGGTGTTTTACTGCAAACTGGGAACTATTTAACATTTTGATCTGATTTAATTATTTGGTTAACTACTATGGCCCTCTAAGTTAACGCTTAAAATAGAATCTGATTAATACGCATTCTACAAGTACAGTCCTCTGCACTTCTGT